CCCCAAAACCCCAAAACCCCAAAACCCCAAAACCCCAGGTTTATGATTTCCATTAAATTTAGGAAGCAATGATAATGCGAGATAATATAATCTGTCATGCTGTTCTAAAATAAATTAATCTCACTTCTTCTTTTTCTGTTGCTCCTTTGCTTCTTCCTTTTGTTTTCTATCCATAAACTTCTCAACTGCTTTTTTGTTGTAAGGTAAGAAATCTTTTCCACCCATAAATGGCTATAGGCATTGTGGAACTCTTACACCTTCTTCTGTTTGATAGTTCTCAAGAATACAGCACATTGTTCTCTCAGTAGCGCAGAGAGTAGCATTAAGCATATGTACATATAACTTTTCTTTGGTGTTCTTAACAGCCAATCTAACCTCAAGTCCTCTTGACTAGAAATCAGTGCAGTTTGAGCATGAAACAAGTTCTCTGAAAGCATCATATCCTGGGAACCAGGCTTCAAGATCGTATTTCTTGGCAGCTGCGTCATTTAATTCTCCTGAGACGATGTTTACGACTCTGTATGGAAGTTCGAGAGTTTGATAAAACTCCTCGGCAATCTTGATCATCTCCTCATGCATTGCCCATGAATTCTCTGGAGTAGTGATACAGAATTATTCAACTTTTTCGAATTGATGGACTCTGAAAATTCCCCACACATCTCTTCCATGTGCTCCAGCTTCCTTTCTGAAGCATGAACTGATACCAGCATATCTGATTGGGAGATCACCTGGTTCGAGCCATTCGTTTCTATGAAGTGCTGAGATTGGTTGCTCTGAGGTTGCAATCAAATACATTGGCTCATCAACTGACTGACCGTGTACCTTGTAAAGATTCTCTTCAAAATCTGAGAGCTGGCAAGTTTCGTTCATGATTGATTACTTCATGAAGAAGGGTGGTTGAAGAGATGTGTATTCTCTGGCAGACAAGAATGTGTTACCGAAATTGATTAAAGCTTAGTTTAGTAAGACTCCATTTCCCTTAAGGAAATATCCTCTATGACCAGCAATTTTCTGGCCTCTTTCAAACTCAACCATATCTAAGCATTCCATGATTTCATGATGATGTAAATGTCCAAGAGTTTTTCCATCAACTTTAAGCTCTGGGATGGTTCCCCATGTTGAGGTGACTAGATTCTCTTCCTCATTCTTTGAGATTGGGACATCTGAGTAAACCAAGTTACCAATGAGACCGAGTTTCTTGTCTCTAAGGTGAGTAAGCTCATCCTTCTGTTTTTCAGTTTGCTCAACTACAATTTTCATCTCATTTGATTATTTTTTCTCTTCCTAAGAGAAAGATATTAGATTAAGATAAAGAATTTTAAATAGTCATACCTCGCATTTGTCTTCTCCTTTTGACTCCTTCATTCTCTTTCCAATTTCTTTAGAGAGATCATTATGCTCTTTCTTGAGTTTATCGACTTGATATGTCACTATAATAATGATTATGTCATGATTAGGATTAGGTCTAGATGTATACATTTTCTCCACTGTTCATCGATTTCAATAATCTCATCAATCAACTTAGGATCTCTGAATCTTCTTTCTTCTGATAGTTTAACGACACTGGGATCACTTCCTATACAAATAATGGTAATTAGATCTCTGCTTTAAAGATATTGCGGTATTTACCTGCATCAGTTCTAAGGAGATTAATATCAATTGGCATCTTTATTACTAAGTATTATTAAATTATAATGATTTTGCAAATCATAATAATCATATATATAATCTACCCAATTAAAGCAAAGTTTAACTAGACTACATACATAATCATAGACTAAATTAATTAAGTGTTATTTTATAGCAAAATTTTAAAGGATAGTTAAGATTTTCTTAATTTTAAAGGTAGTAATCATCATATTTAACCTCCGTGTAAATATAAGAGGGTTGAAATTGATATGTTATTCATAATATAACTTCAATCTAAGGAAGAGCATTTTTAAGTTTATTTTTCATCAGTCTGCTTCCGATTCCATTTTATGAGAGATCCATAACTTTCAAAGTTTTATTTGTTTTTAGACATCCCACAATTCCTTCCACACACTTTTCGCTCAATTTATTTCCTTATAAGTTAATCTATTCTATATGACTATCACAGAGGGCTTTAATGATATGTCCGATGCCATCATCAGATATTCTGTTTTTAGATAAGTTTAATATTTTGATAGGCCCGCTTAAAGACTTTATACATTTGGCAAGTTCGTTTGAATGCATATCACTCAAGTCTATATTGTAAATTAAATATAAGTATGAAAAGATTACTTCTATTAGAAATATCAAGTTCTCCATTTATTGTTTCATTCTTGAATGTCGAGGGGAGATCATTCTTTTTCTTTGAATGAGATCCACCTAAAGTTAATTTTGATTATAAAGGGGGCTATTATTATTATAATTGCTACTGAACAACTTATGTGCCAGGTAAAGCGCTAAATCGCCTTAAATTGCTTGTTTGATTTGCAAAAGAACTTTAATTCAAATTGGTTGACTACCCCAAAACCTAGGAAACATTGTTACTATTTATTAAGCTATTTTGACCAGAACTTTAGGTTTCATTAATTTCTTTGGATTCTTCGATAAGTTTATCATTTAATTACCTGTTATTAATTGGTGAAGCTGGTTCGTTAAATGAGATGTTTGAAAGATTCAACGGATCATTAGCAATAGCCTTTTGGACTTATTAGATTCCATCATTAAGATCCTCTTCATCATGAAAACTAAACGGAGGTAAAAATGACCCAGAGTTAGTTGTAAAGTCGCCACTTAGTTCTTACTATATTTATCCATTAGAGGTATATGTTTTGGCTATATTTTACAATTTCTTCTCAACATTAGGATCAAACGCAACCTTTACAGTTCCATAGCTATTTTCCATCCCATTCAATGAAGGGAATCCCCTTTATTTCTCAACCTTGTCAAGTATCTGCTCTCCGCAATTAAGAATTTCATCAGCTAGGTTGTTCTTTTTATTTTCTATCATGTCATATGGGATATAAAGGGGATCCTCCACAGTTTTGTTAGTATATTCATCAAGTTGCTACTTTGCTCTATCCATCCAGGCTTATGCTTCAGAGATCATTTTATTGTTATGATTTTTTGCCTGCCCAAATTTTTCTTCGAATTATTAGAAATTTACATATAGACTATCAATAACTTTCATTTCGACTGCTCTCAATGCTCTTCTCCATTCTTTGAACTTATCTTGGATTTTATCTTTGATTTCATTTTATTTATGCTTGTAGATATTGTAATGTCTATCGTAATTTGTATTATCGTTTAATTCATCGCAACTCTATTCAATCGCTTAGTACATTTCCATTATAACTTCTACTTTCAAAGATATTTCTTTTGTCACTTCTTCCTCCATTCGTACATCATGACCCTTATGTTGTCCAAATAGGGCACATTAAGCACAGATACGCATCTTATCATCAACACAAATCAGCTCAACAGGCCTTTAATGGACTGGACATTCCTCAATTTATGGTTCTTAAACAGAAGTTGTCACAACATTTTATTATGGATTCTGATGATTTTCAATATGGATCATTGCTTAATCATAGACAAATTATTTTTTTTGTTATATCTGTGGAGAGGTCAAGAATCCAGCTAGTGATTTGTCTTCTGGCTTAGAAACTTTGAATACTCCTTCTTCCTGCATAAAATCTAGTTTCACTAACTTTTTATTTATCAAGATACTCTCCTATAGATTAATTCTATAATAATCAAGTTTACTTTGGTTTTCTATACAATCTTAAGGAGGGCAAAGTTTTTGGGCAGCAATTCAGGCTACTAAATTGTCGACACAACTCTAATAAAATTTAATCAAAATTTTCTTTTGGATGCATCTTTACTTACTCATCATCAGGGCATTTAAATAAGATAGATTGAATTTCCGCTTATAAATCGTCGAGATCTATTTCCTGCTGCTCTTGATTTTATTGTTTTATTTTCTCGAAGCATTTATTTATACAAGATAAACAAAATGAGTGTCCGCAATCAGGGAGAAGTATGGGCATTTTTTCTGTTTCATTATAGATTTCAGTGCAAAGAGGGCACTTTATTTCCTCAATGTCCATTTATATTAAATTTCACACAATTATTCTAATTTTTCTGATTACTAACACATTAAAATTACATTAATTAAAGTAATAACATATTCTATCAGCTAATTAGCATTATTCATTACAAATTTGTGCCACTCTAACTTGTCTTTAATCTTGAATTATCTCTAGGAGGTGCTCCAATCTTTAAGCTATTTTATCTGCTTGATGGTCTTATAGAGGCTCCACTTCTCACAAGCAAACTCATTATATCAGGATTTCCACTTTTCTGAGCAAATGTCACGCAGGTATCCCCCAAACTATTAGTTGCCTTGATATCTGCCTTGTAAGTGAGAAGTAATTCTACCATTTCTTTAGATCCAACTTTGCAGGCAAACATAATCGGAGTTCTTTAAGAGGAATCCTTTGCCTCAACATCTGCTCCGAATTCTATCAAACTTCGAGCTACTGTGAATTTATTATTTTCGATTGCAATTATCAAAGGAGTTTTCAAGTTGACATCAGGGGGATCAACACCTGCTCCTCTAGAAATAAGTGCTATCACCACATTTAAAGCACCATGCTTTGCCGCATAATGCATTGGAGTCCAACCCTCGACATCATTGTTAAAGAATACGTTAACATCAATACCATGATCAAAGAACAGACTTGATTGCTGCTCATTATCATTCTGGATTTCTTGGATTAGTTTCTAAAGAATATTGATTAGAATTCGAAAATTATGTGAGAAAATACCTTCATATCTTTCCATTTATCAATATGCTCTTTCTTTTTATCCTTAAGGATAATTTCCCCACATAGTTTACATTTAGTTGAGTTACGATAGCAAATAACTGTGTGGGTTACCATATCTTTCAAGGAGAATATCTATTTGCAGTTTGGACATATTACTCGTTCCAAGTCTACATCAACTTTGTAATCGTCGTCCTCATCATTTTACTTCTTAGGAGATCCTCTTTTTGCTTTGGATCTACCTCTAATTGCTTAACCTATTCTTTTTCCATTAGCCTCGGCACCTATTTATGAATTTAATATGAAATCACAATCTTACTTATTTTGCTCAAGACACTTGCTGTTTGAGGTCGCTCACCCATTAAGTTGCCTTAAGCTTCAAGATCTTTTAATCTCTCTAGAAGAACACTTGAGGATAACTTGAAGTTCTCTATCATTTCCTCTTTCTCTTTCTCTACTCCTTTTAATCTTAGAGTTAAATATCTAATTTCTTTCTTCTGAGATTCAATGACTTAAAATAGTTCCTCTTTACTCATATCGTCTATAAATGTATCATTTCAGGATTATATATTGGATCATTAGAAATGAAAAGCATGAGGAAACGTACAAGATAATTTGACATCAAACTGCTTCGAAGAGTAGTAGTCATCTGATGGATCATCTTGATCTAATATTTGATTTCTATTCGACTCCATTAATCTAGATTTCTATAATTTTAAAATTTTGAATACTTTATAATTTATAACTACATACTTCATGGGGTTTTGGGGTTTTGGGGTTTTGGGGAGATCGGAAGAG